TGTTGTTGTTGTTGTTGTTGTTGTTGTTGTTGTTGTTGTTGTGAGAAGACTAGCTTGAACTGCCTTAGTGATAATAATAACAGCATTGCGCCTGAGTCTTTCGGATAGTAATTACTGGTTTACATGCCGTTTTATTCTCCAGTAGTGGGTGACGGGGCGAACGGTTCCTGCTCCCGGCCCCGAAACCTGCATTCGGTCAATCAAGTCTGAGGCCTATGATCCAATAGATCGACTGGCGATGGCTTCGTTGATGGATTGATTGATTGGTTCAACTTGGTTGATTCACTTGAATAGCGGCGGTGGGGGAGGGCTAGATTCGGTTTCGAATCGATGAGCTGTCCGGGACCGCGTAGACTACAAACCCAGTGGCATCACGCCTCGGCAGTACCGATAGGATGCTAGGCTGGGGATAAGACACATCCATACATCTTCTTTCTCGCAGAGAAGGTGGGTGGGTTCGGTGGTGATAGCAGGACCGATGGAACGGTTAGGCAAGGGAATATTTCGGGGAGCAGTCAAGGAAACACCATCTTGTCATGATTCGTATATCCTAGGCCTAGGGCATGCTTGCTGGGCGCAACCTGCAGGTTGAGAGGTTTATGTGGTTATCTCTTCTTTCGTTCTTTACGAGAACATAATATGCTGGTCTTATGCTGGGTTCTGACCCACGATTGATGCTTGTCTCTGCCTGTATTGCAACTAGCATCCATCAATCGTTTCCTGGTGGACGTTGCTCAGTCAGTTATAAGAGAACAAGAAGAGCCCGGAGAGGCCGTTCAAGGAGGTCAAGGGAGTGTGCAATCCCTGTGTGGCTGGGACTGCTTCGTAAAGGCGAACCCCGATCCTGATCGCAGGCGTCGTTTCGCGTCCAAGTATCTTAAACCTCGGGGGTAATATTTCCTTAGATGCTGGACGAAGTCACGGAGATGAGCGGCCGCGTCTGGGACCCACCTCCACAGTGGAATGGCCCCATGAGTAGAATAGTGGGGGCTCGTGTGTTGACTACAGGGCTGACAAGGGCTAGAGAACTTGGCATTAGTCCCACACACAGGGAAGGGCTGTGAATGAAGGGGCCGGGTAATGATTTGGGCAGGATTGGACAGGTTGCAACAATGTCATGCATTACGCCCACACCCGAACCATCCCTCCAGTACCAGGGTCAAGAAGAAATGCCACATAACTGCTGGTTGTTGCTTGAGTGTGCAGATAGTCTTTTAACAATACCGTGGTGCAAATTTAGGTGTGCTTTATAAATATGTCCCTCAGTCTCTTGTCTACTCATCGTCTCTTACGAAAATGCCTTTGTTACCTGTCCTTCTAGCCCTCCTTGGTTGAACTTTCTTTGCTTCGACACAATTGTGGTGGAAGCCCTCGACCCACCAGTCCTCTAATCAAGCCACTACTTCAGCAAGATGAGGCTCACAGGCGTTCTAGCGTTTTGCGCCGCGGTCTATGGCCTGGCCATCTCAAATGTACCGAACGGAACTGAGATCTCCATCCACGAGGATCATTTCAGTGCAAGTGGGATATTCTCCAGAGACCAAAGTAAGGCCTGGCGAGAGGCCGAGAAGGTTGTAGGACGCCCACTTGAAAACAACAAGTATTATTACTTTATGTCTTGTAACCCGGCCTATCGCAATCATCGCCACACACGGGAGCCTTACCTGAAGTATGTGGTGGACCGGACCGACTGTGTCCATGTCGGCTTAGTTATTGGGAAGACGGCTAGATTCCTCAAGAAGTTCGAGGCCGAATATCTGCACGTGAGAGTTCTGGACAGCAAACCGGGCGAGTGGACGCAGACCCGCCATAAATGGGATGGCCCTGTTATAGACCAACGGTTAGTGCTTGCTCGGCATATGATTGGTCTTATGCTGACGCAGACATCTCCAGTATTACCTACAAGGGGCAGAAGGCTTCAGTTAACCTAAACAAGCTGTGGAATTATGGTTGGTCCTCCCCAGTTTTCCCCCGCGCGACAGATGCTTAATTACGTGGTGTACCTTAGGTAAAGAATGGGTGGCAGCTGCTGGGAAAAAGATAGACGCAGACCATAACTGCCTGAAGTACTTTGACTTCCTAGTGTCCAAAATCTGACATGCCCCTCGCTCAGGAGCGGTCTCAGCCGTTTTCGGTTTTGGTAGACGGACATACGCCTGGATCACGCCTCCCCAGGCAAAGGGGTGCTTCACAGTTAGGACATACGAATACACCCCCAGAGCTTGATTTTTTTTTTTTTTAATAATAGAGAATAACTCCACCGAATCTCAATGGCGAACAGTACTTATGTGACTAGGAACTGCTTGCTGAGAGGACGATCGCTGTGTTTAAATAACACTTCCCTGTGCTAAGTGCCCGAATTGAGTAATACACCGATGAGCGTCCGTTCATTCTGGGGATGCAAGCTGGGAATCAAGCACCTAGATTGCCCTCGGCCGGTATCCGGGTTCGACAGAGTGCATAAATGGGGCGGAGGTAGATTGACTTTCAATAGGCGGCAGAGAAAATATCGAAGACGGCGGGGAAAGGGCCTTAGGACCGGTATCTTCAACTACTGGTTGTAACAATCTTGCATGCCTTGATGGAGGCAGCTCTGGGCATAACATGCTTCCCTTGGCGTATGACCGCGACTGGGCGTCGACTTTGAGCGCACGACGCGTCCACAGTTAATAGCGAGAGGCTATCACTACTGTGAACGTCTAGCATCGGCCCCAAGGCATTAGCCAATTGCCCGAAGCCTGAAGGATATGACAAACTACCTACGACTGATGCCGACCTGGCAGCTAGGGGAAGGATTTCCAGACGACGCACCCGACGTTGGTTACCCCTAAAAAGGCTAAGTGGCAACGTTGGGCAGTGCCAACAATGAGGGCGAGCACAATCACTCTTGCTTCCTACACCAGCAAAACTATGAGGCTAGGGGATGTCTCCTTAGTGCGTAAAATACTGCTTGCCACCTCTAGGAAAGGAGGCTGGGGGCTTCTAAGGGTGGGCAAGCCATGCCTTATTGGTCCTGTCATTTGACATGGAAAGGGAGTAGGTACGAGGACATGGTGGATGGTATGAGTCTGCCTCCATGAGATTGCAAGCGTTTATATCCTGGGGACTTGGGTACTTGGGTACTTGGGTTCTGTGAAATTGGGGATGATAACAACGATCAGGATGGGATAGGTTAGGAAGGATGACGATGATGACGCGAACTCCCGACTCTTAGATAAAGGCACCTAACAGGACCAAGGGAGCTCATCAGCTTACGCGGGCGATGGGGCTGGCTGGGACGCGGAAGTCGAGAACATCTGCATCCCACGCAGCAGGGGAAAAGGCGGGAAAAATGAATTGAAAAAGGCCCGGCTTACTGAACAAGCATGAACGAAAAGAGACGCGCGTCCCACATGCATTTAGAGAAGAAGAAACGGTCATAGATTCAACCGAAGCGTGGATTGAAGCGGTGATAAAGACAATAAACTGCTTCACTCTAATTCAGACTGCGAAACAGCCCCACAGCACTCGTGGGTCTTGTTCAATGCCAATGGATGGTGAACAATCCTACCTCCCTCGACCAAGTCGATGCAGAGCGGGTCGATAGCCGTACCGCGTGCCCAGGCTGGGTATACCGTACCACCCTTGCCTGACGCAGCAACGCGCAGAACCTCGGGGCCCCAGGCGTCTGGCTTCGCCGCATGGAGGACCGACGTGATGGCGAAGATGTGGTAGGACTGGAGCTTCCACGTTAGCCATAGGAGATAGTAGGTTGGGGTGAGGGACGGCTTGTAGACGACGTATAGGCGTACCTTGCCGCGGGCCGTCTCGGCCTCCTTCTGTGCCCATTCATATATGTTCATGCCGAGGGGGATAAGGCGCACAAAGGGCCTGGATTCCAGATGCTGGCCGAGCCCATGTGCCTCCAACTTGTGCCTGACATTTTCGATGTTATGGATGGCGAGAAGAATGCGGTAGTTGCGAGGAAGGCTCCACTGCAGTAGCTCTGTATTCTTCAGAAGACGGAACAGGGTTCTCCGGGGGACTGACCAGACCGAGGGCCAGCGGTCTGTGGACGGCTTATTGACAGAAGTGAGGGCGGCTTCGAGAAATTCGTAGAGGACTGGCTCAAATTTGTCCTCGAGTACATAGGTAGGTGTGTCGAGGGGCATTCTTGAGATGTAGACGGGGATGGAGAAGTGCATGCGCCCACCCAGGCGGTCAACGGCAGGAGCGTGGGGTGCGGCGACCGTCGCATGGTGATAGTGGGAGTTCTCCCGGCGGTTGCAGCTTTTGTACAGCAGGAAACGGCTTATCTGGAATGATAAGGGGGGAGGCAGGTGCGATCCAACCCACGTAACAGCCATATGGTGGCATCGGTGGTTTTCAAAGCGAAGTCTCGGCGAAGTTTTCTCAAAGCTGGGAGAAAGAAAGAATAAGAGGAAATATTAAAATGAGTTAAAAATGGAAATAAAAATCATTTCAAAAAAGAAGGAGGAATAAACAGACCCAAATCTCACTACATGGGTGACAGGGTAACAGGGGAAGGCAATGTCGAGAGGGCACTGCTGCGCCTTCCTCCAACCGTATGCCAGGATCCAGTCCCTTTAGGGTTCAGTAAAAGGGCCGTCGCATTCTCTACATCATCTTCCTACTGCTCGTTTCATTTATCTGTTATTCCTCCCCCCCCCCCCTTTTTTTTTTTTCTTTTCTTTCTTTTGCCATCTCCCACTCATTCTTCTTTTCTTCTATTATACGACAAGAAGCGGCTTTCGCGCAGGTCTCAACATGCAGATCCAACACCAACGGACAGGACCGGGTAGTGGGCCCGCTCCTGGTCGTTGCAGAAGCAGCAGCTATCGAGGCGCTGTACGACGGAAGCTATGGGCTGGCTGGCATTGAGGGCATCGAAGACCCCGAGATAGGTGAGCTTATCCGGACTGTCGCGGCGTGGGACGATGGGATAGAGCCCGTGATCTAGTCGGAAAGGGAGGTTGAGGACCACTGTACGTCAATGGACTACCGATATCACCCATACGCCGTCACTTAAGGCTTCCCACTGAGAAGGTTTCAACAGGCAGATGAGAGGTGGGTATATTGCTGAGTTGATGAACACTGTACGTTCCTGTCCGCAGATAACTCCAGTTAGACCTGTCGAGGGATTCCAAAATTTGACGCTGGTGCTGACATCTGACTACTAGTGGTACTTCGAACATGCAGCAAGCATCGTGCTCATCACCAAGGGGGCGGTTGCGAAGAACCCAGAGTGGCTCAACATGATGAAGAAGGCGGAGGACGCGTTAATCTAATGGGCGGAAAGCTATGCGCGAGAAGGTCGACAGCGAGCGACGGCTTATGAGAACCAGTGGATGGTATCGAAATCCTCCATCACACATCGGGTCGCACCTTCTTGCAGCGGGATAGGTGACAGGGTAATTACAACACGAAAAGAATACGCAATTAAAACATGAAAAACGAGGCGATGACAGGTGGAAGGAGCATTCCTGACTCCTCTTCCTGGGCCCGCTGCTCCTGCCTTTCTCGCCTGTACAGCTTTATTTTCGACCCACACCTCTAACACCCCACCTTCTCCTTCCTTTCCAGTCTGCACAACACATTTAGCGCTGTATTGAACAGGAGAAATATCCACTGTCAAATACATCAGATCACCTTATTCTGATCTCTAAACCTCCTCCTCCTTTTCTACCCTGCACATCTTATCGATGTCAACAACAAGCTTGACAATAATCACAACGGCAACAACGATAATAGCAGCAGCTTCGCAAGACTCCCTTCTAGCTAGCTCTCATTAGCTGTAGGGGAAAGAAACAACCCCTCATCACGTGCCAACATACCTTGCTGACTGATCCCCCCCCTTGGAACAGCGCTCACAACGATGGCCCAGACTCAGGATCCGGCCCTGGGCCTGGCTAACGCCCACGTGAAGCGGTCAAAGACACAGACTTCAGGCCCCTACCGACCATTGTACACCAAATTCCCTCACCTAGGCATCATAATGACCTAGCATAAGACGGAAAGCTTTACAGCCAAGGTCGAGGAAGGCACTATCTTTAAGTTGTCCCTCGGCTCCTTCTACACAGACCGTGCGCATAACATCGACGGCAAGCATGTCATTAAGGGCCTTGCCCTCGACTTCGCGAACGACCCGAAGGTACGTCCCGACGTTCGCTAGTGTACTAACTTTCTTCAAGCACTCAACACTAACATAGTCCCAGATTAGAACGACTGTTATTATGGAGGAAATGCTGGGTCATAAGGGTTGATATGTCTTATTTGAGGGCAGCCTGGGGTATGCCCAGATGATACTTCATCCTGCTTGTGTCTCATGCTAACAGTTGTGTAAGGTAGGAAGGACAGCATACCCTGGGTGGCGGGTTAGTGGCGGGGGGGAATAGGGTTAATCGCGGGTTATAAGGACTTTTACTTGCTCTCATGCAGGTAGAGTCCTCAGCGGACGTGCCGGCGGATGGCTTAGCAGATAAGAGTCCGACATAATGATGAAACTGGTGACTAAACTATCTGTGGACGAGTGTGATGCTCGTGCTGATGTGTTTTCCGTCCATAAACAACTTCTGAAATGACACATATGCAGCACCAAATGCCCTCTCCTTCCTCCAGAGGAATACCATCGCTTGAGATATTTGTTCGACGCAAGCTTAGTATTGAATACCGATTCCCGCTAGCGAGGGGATCGCTGGTTTCTCTTTCTAGGTATTTCAGGCTAAAACCGGGGTGGAAGAGTAATGCAGCAGCATAATGGGACGAAACCTACGTTGAAGTCCGTAATACGTATTCGGCTTGTTTCACCTATTGTCGATAGAAGTGCCTAAGTATTACTGGCTACTTCTGTCCATCTCTCCCAAGTTAGAGATGCCTATCATGTATTTCTAGCGAGCATTACGGGCAGGAGAACGGCTCTTATCAAACCGTCTATGAGATGCTTGTGGTCTTTGAGTGTCTGATAGCGGTTGCCGACCTACTAAGCGAATATATCTTGAAAAATTGCCTCTTTTGATAGGGGCTGTGAGTCTTCTGATTCAACATCTTGATCGTTCTTCATAGTGGTGCCGCTATGGAAGGTCTCCCATCCCTCAAAGTGACTGGACTCGGAAGGTGCACTATTCCCATGGTTACCTCCTAGGGTCTACCACGGGAGCCGTCTTTCCCAAGGCCCTGCGTTTAAATCGTGACCTCTGATATACTGGAGGCCTCAAGGTTGCTATATCGTCTGCTATTTGCAGCTAGTCGTCGGACGTCAAGAGATCCTGGGCTGGCATAGATTCTTCGACATTCTGGGAAGAAGAACGGAAGACCTCTACTTCATCCTTGCGAGGCGGATTGCACGCTCAGTCATAATGTATGTAGAGTTCCTTCCACCTTGTGGCGCTGTCTTGGACCAACTCAACCCCTCTGGGTCTGGTGTCTGCTGAGAGCGGAGAATATCATTGGACTTATTAGAAGCTTCATATCTCCCGCGAAATAGGATGCTCAGTCTCTGCGTATGTTGCGGGGAGGCTCTACTGAACCTCATAATCTCACGAAGCTTGCCTGTAGGGCCCTCCTTACGCTACTACCTGAGCCCAGTCTTATCTTGCTATAGGTGAACACAGGTAGGCATTTGATCGTTTCCAAAAGTAGGGTTATTATAGAGCATCTATGGCGGGATAGATGGCAGCTTTCTGCACAGCCTTTGCATAATCCTTCGTCGTTTCAGTCATATCCAGACGCCATCTCTTGTAAGGGACATCATCAGGTCCATCGGAGTATTCTATTGCCTGCATCTCTCTAGCACGATTCTTTACCAGGTGCTCTCGAGCACAGGAAGTGGCTATCCATGATACCAAGAGGAAGCCGCTTGGAAGGGTGAGCAACGCATTGGAACGATAAGTACTGCGGGGCATGCGCTAATCACAACCTGCATATGTCTGATTTATACAATATCAATAAACATATCTTGTCCTGGTAGCCTGAGATGCAGGTTTGTCGGTCAACCTTTACCTCTGCATTATAAGCCGAAGCACTTGCGTTTGGATTAGGGATATGAGAAGCGTGGCTGGCCTCGTTTGAGCATTGGCTATGGTTTTGTACAGAAATCAAACTTGAAGGTATGGAATGACATTTGGACTACTGTTCCTATATCCAGTCTGCATGAGTTCATTGAGTTCAGAAACACAGGTGCTGGTCCTTCTGCTCCTCCTAGTCATGTTTGATATCAGAACTTGGCGAGGCAGGCTTCTGTTGAGAGATTCCTAAGTAAGCTTAGGAAAACGTCTTGTTAAATACCTTTATGGCGAGTCGGATCATGACACTAGAGGCGGATGAAAGTGAGAAGATTGATTGGTTATTTTTGTAACTCCTTTTTGGGGATGCCCTAGGAGCCTCAAATACAAACTTCGAACTGCTCTCATACGCTTTCTATACGCTGAGCGCATTCACCATTCATACAGACAAAGTGAAGAGGACATTGTCGCCTCGCCATGAGTTTTCCACCTCTACCTTGAGAAGCCTTTTCTTGACGTCGAAACTCGCAATGGCGCCCTTAATGGAGGCGACAAAGATGGTCTTTCCGATCCTGGCCCAGCAAGCCTTCTGGGCGTTGTTTTTATCCGCAGCTGATACAGCGAAAGGGGCCACGGCGCCCAATTTCATGGTCTTGCGGCAGTCTACAAAAGCCTTTTTCATGTCGTCGTTCTGAACCATGGAGCCCTTAATTTCCTTTAGCTCGTTGGTTTTGAGACCTGTTATGGTCCAGCACTCTTTGAGAACCTCACGCATCTTCAGACGAGGCTTAGTAAGGTCGAATGCATTCTGAGCGTTGAAGACAGTCAGGCGCTTGTTCATGGTATCGATCTCCAGGTAATCGAGAACCATCCGATCACCGTCCCTGTCGAATTTCTTATAACCATCCGAGTATACAGAAAAGTCCCAAACCTTCCCGCCTTGTGACTTCGTGGTGTCCACCCAGTAGGCATTATTCCCCTAGTCACGTCTTCATTAGCAACCAGTCGTAAGATCACATCGGCGTAATGCGTGAACTTACAGCAAAGGGACGTATGACTGCGGCAGAGGTCAGCGAGGCGAACGCGAGGAGAAGTGCACAAAAGCATTGAGAAACCATGAGATTGAGTGAGTCTATAGACTATGCATACGTCAGAGCTTTTCGGTAGTAAGCGAAAAAGTAACTGATGTTTGGGACCGTCAAATTGTCTTTGAACTTGTAGGGATGAGGTTAAAGGTTAGTGTTATATCCGTCCGTTGTATCAGTTGGAGTACGGTGGCAATCTGCTAAAAGCTCTTAGACCTAAGGGTCTTGAGGCATAAGCGTCAATGGGGACCTATTTGTCATCATTAGTCCCTATTCTGCACTGGATCGTGACGCTGGCCAGCGCCCTGGCTGGTTATTTCATACCATAATCGACACTAGGTACTTCGCCCCCCCCGCCCCCCCCCCCCCCCCCACCCTGGGGCCTTGTCTGCTTAAGCGAGGAGTGTACCAAAATAGAAAACATGTCATGATCTGTTTTTCAAGAGTATTGGAAGGCGGGCCCGCCGAACTCGGTTCGTGGGAGGCGACTCATCACATAAGGGGGCTGTGTATTGGTCAGGCGAAGTAGATGGTAACATGTTCAGGGATATATATATGACCCTTGAACTCGTTCTGTAGAATACTTTTACATTTCCTCTTTCTTCTTTTCTTTTAGGCCCAATCCCAACTCCAACAAATCACAAGAGACTCTGAACATTTGAAACCCATAATTATGAAATCGGCAGTAGCCGTGGCGGCTGCAAGGCGGGTGGATTGTAAGTTAGCAGAGAAATTGCTGTAGATGTCGGCAATCTCCGAGGCGACCGGCATCACCGCGTTCGCGAGTCGAGTCACATACTGCACTATCCTTACAGACAGCAATGATGTTACGGCCCAACCAGTTGAGGTGCTGGCCGGCGTAACTATATAATGCAGAACAAGGGTTAATGACACGGACTAAGGAAGGACTGTATGGTGGGATGCCAATGTAATCGGATTGTATGGAAGAGAACTCGCATGGATTTCAGCATTCGATATTTAGAAGACGCTGTTCTATTCATTGATCACAATGGCATAGGAGCATCTGTGTCTGAACCTTGATTTTCCATGGAAAAACAGGTTGTTCTGTTGTTTTCTTGTTTTTTCTTTTGTTTTTCATGGTGGCATTTGCCCTTCACAAATTAATTGAAGTCAGCAGTCGGTATTCCTTATCACGGCCCTTCTTCTCAGCACCCATGCGGCAGATTCCAATCTTCTTCAGGGGAACGCTTCGCATCCATGTGTAGTCGCGATATTTGTTGATGATCTGTCTAGCGTCAATGCCCCCAGTCCGTGTCTTCCGGGCGTTAACGATGGTGGCGTGGAGTGATAAGGGGGGGTTTGTCTTGTCCAAGACGTTGGCCTTCTCGAAAACGTGCCTGATCTTGTGGCAAAGAGCGTCGAAGTCGCAATCATGACATCGGGGTTGCGCAAATAGGATATCGGCGTGTCTTGGGTCGGCACCCGGAAAGGTCCCCAGGCCATGAAGCGAAACCTTCAATGGCGCGGTAGGAAGTAGAGGCTTTATGCTCTGAAGAACCTCGATTGCTTTCGCAATGTCTCTCGATCCAGCAAGGCTCATTACCCCCAGAGTCAGGTGAATGGTGCCAACAGGACGCACTACGGACTCCGGGATGCCGAAGCTGTTCGGTCGAGTAATGTCTGTCTTGAATGTGCTTAGACTTGCGGACAGCTGGGGGCGAGAGAATTCCGTGATAAGCGGAATGCAAAGAAAGTGTGTAGGTGCCATGATGTATATCCAGTGTACTGTCTGTAATGAGTCAACAGATGCGTACTCTGGGCTTGGGTCTTGACAGCCCAATGCCCGGGTGGTATTAATACTCGCCTTTTCTAATTAGTTTTGCCCTACCCTCTGACGCTAATTGATTACTGAGTGACCTCCTTGGTTATGTCATACTGATCTTTTTAATACTTATAATATGGACATGCTCGGCTTTGCCGAAATCAAAATCCGGCCTCGTGCACGGTCATACCGCCCGACATGATTAGTGACAGATCATCTGTACCGTTCACCGTTCGATTAACGGCTTTACCTGCATAATAATAGACTGTATACGTATATATTGTAGCGGTTGTAGTCTCCTACGTTCTCGCTATCGCTGTTCTATCCCTTATAGTAGTTGTTGCTGCCTTGTTGGGTTCGCCCACAAGTAGAGGGCCCTTAGCAAGAACGGGCTGCACGGCCGTTCCGCCCCGTATAAAAGCGTCTACCACGGCTGCTGCTTAGAGGGCGGAATAACTGATACATTCACCTGATTAATTTGGTCGGAAGGTGAAGTTGCTGGTGACGTTCAAACATGCTCCCCACCAACTTGGCGGCTGCTCAGGCAAGGTTCCAAATAGCGGTGATTGGGATGACGCTTCAGAATAAGACCTCCGCGTCATTATCTTATACCAGATGAATAAGGTAGTTATAGAGGGGTGTAAAGAGGCCTTTTCCTCTCTCCTTTGCTGGGTGTGCGTGAAAAGGCTTTATTTGCGTCTGTTCTGCTTTGGATGAGATCTATTCGACGTTAGCTTATGATCCTTTTCGGTGCGGCGTATGGCCGCGTTGGTGGTCTTCTTCCTACTATGTGACACCAGCCCGTCCTGTCCCAGAGCGTCAACTCAATTATCTTATCTCTCTTGCCACTTCTCAGTGAAGGCCGTTCTAGGTGAGAATGCGCCGCGCAAGCTTATCAGCCCGTCCTCGTCAACAGCCCCCTCGTCTAGGGGGAGTCCAAAATATTGAAGGACGAACGACATCTGGCCTGATCATTGCTAGTCTGGCCTTGCTGCGAACGGAGCCAGTTAGTGGATTAGCAGGTTAAGGGAGACAATCAACAAGACTACTCTTGCGCCTACCTCGTGGTCAACATCTAAGACCCCCCGTGATACGCCATGCTCCTTGCGACGCGCAGTGGGCTGTTGAGGAGGTACCCACAGCTTGAGGGCGATTGAATGCGGTTGAAGGCGGTTAGAGGTGGTCGACTGTTGGTGTTTCCCCCCTTGCTTGATAAGAAAATGGCGCTGCCCATATTGGTACGATGTTTTAAGGTTGGGATTCAGGCGGGAGGGTATTGGTTGTTCTTGCCCGATGAACGGACAGGTTCACGGATGTAGGACTTTGGCGCCGAGATTAGCTATAACATAGGCGCTCGTTTCGAATAGGAGGCAACGGCGGTGCCCACAAACGAGCTAGGTAAGACTGTTCGTCTTGTGACTTCACGTTGTGACTGGTTTCGTTGAGTGTGATATCAGGCCACTCAACGGCGATCGACGATACAGGAGGATGGGTACGCAACTCCCCACTCGTCGTAAATACCCGTTGCAAAGCAAAGCGAAGCCAACGAAGCGAAGCCAGGGTATACTACTTACCGCCGGCCGTTATAGACATAATCGTCAGCCGCAATGAACGATTCCGTGCTAGTCGGTCTTATAGCATCCAGAATCTTGCTCCACACTCGAATCTGTCCAGCTACACACCGCAGTGCCATTCTAGGCTAGAGATGCGGCGCGCCCTGTACCGTTGTGACGACCCACTGGCAACAACAAGAAAGAAGAAATCGCCTGGTGGAAGGGGCGAGCAGGCGAGGTAAACGAAGCTCAAAATGGAGATACCACTTCACAGCATGTCTTTCACAGGGCAGTTCTGCTATTGCCATCAAAAAGCCTCTCTGCCGGGACTTCAACCTTCTGTCAATAGCTGCCCTTCTCTAACGTGATTCTTCAGCCGCCAGGCCGGGGGAATCACAACCGACTCCAAGCATCTGCTCTGCGATCTTCGTGATCTCCGTCAGAGTTTTAGTAGAAGCGTCAAACGTCATTGGCCGGAGAATGGTGGGTGTTTTCAATGAAAGCACATCTGCTAGTGAACTTTCGATCTGATACAACTTCTCCAAGATGCTGACCCTGTTTGCAGCGAAGGCCCTCCGGGGCAAGAGTTGGAAGATAAGGACAATGTCTCGGGCTATGCTCAAGGGGTAACCTCGCGAAATACTCTCGCAGCAAGTGGTGCCCGTCAGCGTCGTCACTGATAAGCATAGCAGCCACACAATAGTCTTGAGCCACCCGCATGTGACGAGAAGCTCAGCCTGCTGCGTCTAAGGGTAAGCGGACACGTCGGCGAGGCAGTTTGACAAAGCTCTCTGCAGTTATGCTGGCTGCTCATGGTCTGCGGGCTCCTCCGGCTCAGCCGTCGGACGTTTCGAGTAAGAGTTCCAGGCCTCAACAAAACCGGCATCGAAAGGCCGGAAGAGGGAGACCAGATCAAGAAAGCCACGCAGAATTTCGGCGTCGGCAAGAAGCGGATCGACGTAGGGTAGGTTTGTTGTGGACTGCAAGGCCAGGGTTTTGCATCGTTGTATCGCGAAGACACGTTCTGTGACAAAGAGAACCCAAAATGCGTGCCTAGCATCATTTGCGATAGATAGGGCGGTCGTCTCCTCATAAGTGGCCTCTTTGTAGTACCTGAGCGCCTGTAGCATGGGTATCGCTTCGCGTAGGTAGAACCATACTGCACTATCGTTGCGGAGGCCAGAGTGTGCACAATGCCGCATGAGAGAGGTTTGAATTTGTGCGAGGGACTGGTCCTCGGCCAGATGACAGAACCGCCTCGATCGGAGCGCTTCTGAGATCAAGACGTCAACCGATGGGTCTGAGAGGCGGCGATGGCTGCGCTGAGGAGATGATTTTGGCGAGCCGGCAGAGGCCGACGACACGGCACGGTCGAGAGAAACGGTGGCGCAACAGGACACGACAACGCCATAGCATCCTGGG